ATCGGGCATTGATTGTTTAGTGATTAAAACTAGATTTTACAACTAATTTCATCAAAAACACAAGAATTTTCAAAAAAATTCTTTGAAATAAAAAAAGTTTTTCAAATTATTCTGTTTTGATTGAATTATGTTGTTGTTATGAAAACTATACATATATTGATTTTCAAAACCTTATTTTTCAATAAGTTTTTCAAAAACTTTGCCCATTAGGATTGGTATAGAGAACCTTGAAATATTGAGGACTCAATTGAGTTTTGGGATTGATTATTTTTGCATACATATGTTTTTTAAAATTGCAGGTTATTTTTCCATTCCGATTATCTTAAATCATGTCTCATAAACGTTCTAGGGCCTCCTCTAGTCGTTCTAGCCAACCTCCAAACTCACCTCTAAATCCTCCACCTATCCCACAAATTCTTATTCCTGATCCTAATGATCCAAACATGACCATTCGTAATTCTTGTTTCAATGAACCCGGTCGTAAACAAAATCTCTACTATAGGTTTTGTCAATACTTTGAGTCCTACAAAATCCGGGAAGAACGTATCCCATCTCTTCAAGCCATGCTAGACATCAATTTTCGTCATCTTCCTACTCTTTATGAGTGGAAATTTGACAAACTCTTCGAGCTTGAACCAATTGTCTACCATCAAGTTGTTCGTATCTTCTACTCTAATGTTGTTTGTATTAAAAACCGAGAAGAAACCTTAATCATAGGGATCTGATCCTATCTTCTAGGACGATTCTTTCATCTTGACTCGGAATTCATTGCCAAAGCATTAGGATTAGATAATGAAGGGTTAGACAATGAAATACTTACGGTAGGATCTTAGTATAAGTGAATGGATAGTGCAAGTGTTCTAGACCTTCATGATTATTTTCTTCACCTAATGATCTCTTGGTGGTTTCGACTATCCGGGGATCGTTACTCTACTCTTCGTGCCTTAGATCTATTTTGGCTTCATTGTGTCCAAAATAATCTTCAAATCAACCTTCCACATATTATCTTTGATGAACTTGTCGAAATTGTAAATCTTGTTCCAAATAAGAAACTTTGTTCATCTTTAGTTTAAGGTTGTATTCTTAGTAATATGTTTTCTAAGACTGGGCTTAGAGTTGGTCTTGATGCTTCATTTCCCCTCAAAAATCACATCAATCTATTCTCTTTAACTAAATCGAGGTGGAAGATCAATGAAGAAACTGGTCTTTGGGTTCGAACCGGTGAGCAACCGCCTGAAGTTAACGACTCCGACGATGAACCAGAACAGCACGAGGAACAAGCACGAGGAGAGGAGCAAGCAAAGCCAGAGAATCAAATGCCTCTATACTTTCAATCTTTTATGGATACATTCGATTTCCGATATGCTTCCATGGATTCTCGCTTCACTTCCATAGAATCTCATTTATCTACAATAGGAGCTCAATAATTGGAAATTCTCCGGGAGATACGCACAAACAACACTTCTATGAATGAACGCATTGATGCACTCTCACATGAGATGGCCACTATGCGAGCTCATTTTCCTCCTCCCGATCCTCCTACGGATGCTTGATTCTGTGTTATGCTTTAGTACTTTGAACTTAAAGCTCATTGTTTCAATATTTTGAATGTTTTTGGATTTTTTTACTTTGGTTGTTGGATATTTGAACTAATTTGATGAATTATGGATGTTTGAACTTATATTTATATATATTTGGTTTGGTTAAATTTATTCATTATTACATCATTTACATCAATTAGATATATGACCAATTTTTCCAAGTCACATTGTTTATGAATATTGATTATGAAGCTAATGGCTAAAGTTTCTCTTGATTGTGTTCTTAGCAGCTTATGCTATATCTATTATAATCAATTGGCTAAGTACTTTTCAAAACCTTGTTTAAAATTCTTTTAAAAAGTCTTTTTGATTTAACAAAAAGGGGGAGAAATGTTAAAAGTGAGAAGTGTTAGAGTAAGGGGGAGTAATTTCAAACTTGATTTCAAAATCTTAAAATTACTAAAATGTTTTGTTATATCAAAAAGGGGGAGATTGTTGAAAACATTTTGATATTTCGATATAACAAATTAAGTTAAATGAATTTTAAGATTTTCCAAAAAGATTTTCTAAGTATATTCGATATAATTATTCGAATATCAAAATATTACTCCAAATCTTTCAAATGTCATTTTTAATCCTTACTAAAGTGTAAAATTAAGTTTTAATCTTAAAATAATTTCAAAACAATTTTACAAAATATTTTGAACCATTTCAAAGCCAAAAATTCCAGATTGCTTAGAGGAAACCGATTCCCCCTGAATGGTTTGGCTCTTAGAAAAACAGAATGCTCGGAGGGAACCGATTCCCCCCTGATCAACGGTCGAAATATTTGAATTTTACACTTAGGGAATCGATTCCCCATGAGGGGGTACCGATTCCCCCCACGCTCCAAGCAGAAATATTAATTGTTTTCACACTTAAACGGCTCCAATAACTTCATTAATGATCCCCAACGTTCAGAAGTGATTCAAGGTATATTTAAACAAGCTTAGAAGCCATTGATCAATAACAAGAAACAACAAGCAACTAGAATCAAGAGAGAATCAAAGAGAAAGCATCAAACCTCAAGTTTGAGCATTTCAAGCCTATTTTTCATTCAATATTCATTTTACTTTCAAGAACACTACTTGTACTCGATTGTATTCATTCTTGAGTGTTCTTTTCTTTGTTATAGAATTGTGCAAACAATCTACCTTGTGAGGATTTCCTTGTAAATTTGCAAATTTGTATTGTTCTCTTTGGGAGAGAGTGTTCTCAAGAATTTGGGGTATAATTCTTGAGGGTTTGTAAGGTTACTCTTTGTCCTAAAAAGAAAGACAAATTAGTGAATTTGTGGAAAATCCTTAGTGTGGATAGCTAAGGTAGTGGACGTAGACTTTGGTTGAGAAAGTCGAACCACTCTAAATCGTTGTGCAATTACTTTCAATTTTCTGCAAAAGCTTCCACCAAATTTTAATTGCTAATTCACCCCCCTCTTGGTCGATTCCGTCAATCGATTAACTCAACAAACATGTATGAGGTCTTGTGGGACACCTACTTGATCCTTGGTATATGTATATGATTCTTAAGGAATTTCTATGTGGTCCTTATGGACAATATGGAACTACGATGTATTTCTATGCGGCACTTCGGTGCAAATTCTATGTGGCACTTCGGTGCATTTATACGAGCTGTGGTGACAAAATTTGTGCACAACCTCAATGTACTCACATACCTTAAGTTCTCAAAAATATACATGGACTAATAAAGCAATAATATAAATATATTGTATGTGATATGTGTAACATGTTATGAGGAATTGATTACAAGGATTAAATGATGCTATGTGTGATTCTTTGTGAATGATAATATATGTGCAAGTGGATAATTGTTGCATGGATTGAATATATGATTTCATGATAATGCATCTCATTATGACATTCTCAGTATATTTCATTTGTTATTTTTATTATGTCTCACTAAGTCAACGACTTAGCGTGTGATTGTTTCACACGTAGGTTCTTACAAGAAGAATGAGTAAAGTTAAGCAAGACAAGTCAGTTCTCATTTCCAATGATAAGATCAGAAAAGAATTGAATAATTTGTATTTTGTAATACTGATTGTGGTTGACATGTAAATAAAGATTTGAATCTGACATGATCTAATCGGTTTTGTAAAATCATATTATTGAGTTTTGGAATATTTTAAACATATTTATGTAAATGGTAAATGTATAGTGATGAAAGTTTAAATTTTATGAGTTTTATATAAGTGGACGGAATTACTGTAGCAAAGGTATCGGTACACTGTAGCAGGGTATCGATACCCCTGTAGCATTCTAAAAAAATTTAGCATTTGGTACTGTATATTATCATATTTTCTTTCCTTAAATTTGTTATAACAAACATAATTCAAGATATATTATCGTATTTTCTTAATATAAGTTCAAACGTTTTGTTATTTTGTAAGAATATTGTTTTAAAAAGTCAATGTGACATCTCGAACTCGTATCCGGGTCAGGTACGGGTTGAGGGACTTCAAATAATTATATTTTATTTCACATAAAAATATCTTCCATACTTTTGTAAATTAAAAACAAAATTGAATTATTAAATATATATTATTAAGGAAAATATTCATGTATAAAAGATAAAGATAATATTTTTCATTGTTATAATGAACGTATGAAAACGACATGAACATAAAAAAAATAAAATTATATTAGATTATTAAAATATTAACAATCATAGAAGTTGTGATGTGAAGCAGACCCCTTGTTATTTCAATTAATAATGATATAATCCGAAATAAAATCTTACGGAATAATGAATGGAGCTTATCTTTTATGCTAGATACTGTTAGTTCATGAGGAAGAATTAATAATTATTTTATTTAAAATAATAATATCATATGCATTGTCCTTGGGAGAATTATTTTTAACAAACAAGGATAGTTACTTTAATAATTAAAGGAAATGAAAAATATGATAGTTATCATCATTTGAATTCATTCATAACTTTTTTAATTATCAATTCTTTTGTTAATAACTCCATATTTTAAAAATGATATTTAAATTTTATATTAATCAATAATGATATAATCCAATAATCAAATAACACGAGAGTATATATATTTATATAATTTTTGTATCACATAATAAGTTTCAATTGATAGAAAATTATTTTTCTAACTAAAAATATGGTAATTTGAAAATAGATTAAAGTTTTATGCCATTTTCGAAAAAAATAAGAAAAATAATATAATTGAAGTATAAATGAATAATTAAAATAAAAGTATATTTAAGAGACTTATTAAATACGTCTTTTTGGAAAACGTCACTAATGCGATATATTTTTATTAAAAAATATTTTTCTAAAATTTATTTGTAAAAAATATTATTACCTTAAAATTGTATAATTATAAATTATTTTTTTTAATATTCGATTTGTGTTATTTAAGCAAGTACATAAAAGGAGATGGATAGGATTTGTTAGTCACCGTCCACCTTCTCTTGTTATCCATTTGTTGCTTGCAAGTGCCTAGTTGTATAACTTCTTAACCTACGCACCTTTCCCTCCTTGTTTTTTCTCTTCAACCTCTAGATTCCCCCATGGAAGTCATGGTGGGACCTACCTTCGGCATCGAGGTTGCTCCTTCGCCGGCGTACTCTCGGGACAATATCTCTTCCTCTGCTTGCCTGTTTATCAAGGATGAGGTTGGTGGCGGATCGGATCCCAGGACTCCGGATCTATCCTCCGACACTTCCTCCTCCATCGGATCTCCCGGAGATAGCGATGTCGAAGACGAAGAAGAAGACGGCGTCGTTTCATCTGCTGGTTTGGCTTCTCTGTCTTCCGTAGAGGACTCTCTTCCCATCAAGTTAGTATCTCCTGAGTTGTTTTTTCTTTCATCATAGAAATTGAACTACCAAAGGACTACCCTTCCTTTCCCTTTTGATTAAAATCCCAAACACCTTTGTTTGTTTTGTAGGAGAAGATTGTCGAATCACTATGCGGGAAAATCAAAGTCATTTGGAAATCTTTCAGATATAAGTTCAGTGAAAGAGGTGCCCAAAGTGGAGAGTCCCTTCAACAAAAGGAGAAGATTGTTGCTAGCAAATAAATGGTCAAGGTCCAGGAAATCATCATTCTATTCATCGCAAAACCCAAATTCCATGCCCCTTCTTGCTTTGGTTGAAGACGATGATGAAGATACAGAGATTAAACAATTAACATCAGTAAAACCAAAGCTGCAGCAAAGCAATCTCAGAGCTAGTTTCAAGTCCCAAAGTTGTTTTTCTCTCACAGATCTGCACGTACAAGCACAAGAAGAAGAACATCAATAAAGCCTTTTCTTAGTTTTTACCATCGATATGCTTTAGGATTTAGATTAGCTCAATATTTTTTTCTACCTAGTACAAGTGTATATGTAAAAAAAAATTAAAACTTTTTTATATAAATAAAATCACTTCGACCGATTTTATTTTAATTTTTGTGGGTATATAACATCATATTCATAGAAATGGATGATTGTGGACTTCATGTGTGTATGCATGTATGTTTGGTATGCGTTATGTGGTGATGGTGGGGGATAGTGAAAGGGGATGGCTTTGATATTTTTAGTGTCGTCCAATAAGGGAGAGGAGACCTAATTCGTTAGACCAATGTTTTATTTATTAATTTGGAAATGGTATTATTTCGGATATTATTTTCCGATCTATTCTTATTTTTAATATAGAAAAAAAAGTATAAATTTTTGTGTGACGAATAATGCTTAATGTGTTTTGAAAGATGCGTGCCAATGCCGACTACCAATGATGGCAGATTAGGTGGAGGAAAGATGTTAGAAAGCTTTATATGTATATATAAAACTTTATTTAATTTGAAAGAAAAAATATTATAATTTAAATGGTAAAATGTAACAAAGATTATTGAATTATATTCAAATAATGGTTAATTAAATGTTTTAAAATTATAACATAATTATTACATTTATCAAAATGTTTTTACTGATTTATTTTTATAGGTGTAAAAGAGAGAAATATAAGGATAAAAAAAATATAAATGATGATGTCTGTTTACTTTTTTCTGTTGCATTCTCGATTTCAAGATTTTGTATCGACTAATTCAGACTAACCTGCGTCACATATCTGATTTTAGTGAGTCTCTCATATGATATTTTCTGTATACACAATGACTCGAACCCATTACCTTAAGGATATCAAATTGTTTGTCCTTTGAACAAACCCCTATTGGTTATTTGTTGATATTTTTAATAAAACATTTTGAATGAGAATTTTAAAAATAAAAAAGATATATTTAGTGGGATGTATAATATAATCATTGTAATGGTGTAGTATTGTAAGATTTTAGAAAATTAATTTTTTTACAGTGACTCGATAAATATTAATGATTATTTTATAAAATAATATGATAAATTAAGTAATTGTTTTATATTTTTTAAAATTAATGGTTAAAGTGATCATTTAAAAATAGTTTAATGACCTATAATGTAGGTTACCATAATTTTATAAATGGAAAACATAAAGCAGAGTTATATGTATATATATATTGTAACGGACCGCTAGCCCATGACCGAGCCCAATTCGATCAAGGTTGCTAGAGACTATCTTTGCCATGTTTTGGGCCTTCCAGAGGACCCATGAGAGCTGACCCATCCACCTTAGAATGAGATAAGGCATGATCATTTTTTAAAATTATCTTAGAGAAAATTCCTACAAACTATCCTTTGTTTTTAGCTTGTAAATAAAGTAGGGCTCTCATCCTGATCGTTGATGTAATTTAATCTTAACCGTTGATTGTATGGGGATCCAACTATAAGAAGAGGCTCACCCCACCTCATTTACACACTTCATATTGAGGAATACAATTTAACATTCACTCAAAACTCTCTATTTTTCCTTTGTGCGCCCATCTCTTTATTTTTCACCATTTCCTTTATTTTCGCAACGTTTGAGTTACTTAGCTGAATTTTGACCTTGAAAACATTTAAGTCCACACGAGCTTACTAGAAACAGTCTAGTCCTATGACAAGTGGTATCAGAGCCTATTTTTTTTTTATTTTCATTGGTTCGAGATGACACTACAAAATGGCGAGGCAATAGGTTCCAATGGGAATGACACATGCAATGCTGGAAAAAAGAGAGCACAGTCGAAAGATATTCTAACGTCCATCCAAGAAAAGATTACCAGACTTAAGGGTTTCATAACGGAAGCCAAGGGAGCGCTAGACATGCTAGAGTCTGTAGACCTTGAAAGGTTGGGATCATTGGATCTCGACAAGCTGGAGTCCTTGGAGAGTATCAATGAGGAGGTTCAGGAGACACTTAATGAGTTGGATGTGAAGATGACTGATCGAGGTGATTCATTGGAAGCCATAGTGGTGACTTTAAGGAATGAAGTCGAGGAACTCAAGAGCAAGGGTTTCGAATTTGAGGTGGCAGGGCTGAAAAGGGAGGTTGAGTTGCTCAAGAATGAGTTGTTGGTGTGCAAAGTTATGTTCATGAATAACGTAGTCTCTTTTGCACCCAAAGCTTTGGGTGACATCCCTAAGCCTGAGAAGTTCAAAGGGACAAGGTCCGCTCAGGATGTTAAGAATTTTTTTTGGGGTTGGATCAATACTTTGCATCCATGGACATCACGGAGGATGCCAAGAAAGTAAGCATCACTAACGTTTAGTTGTCAGAGATTGCCCTCATATGGTGGAGACGTAGGTGCAACGATGTGAAGTGTGGGAACACTGCCATCGAGACATGGGCAGAGTTCCAAGGTGATTTCAAGGAACAATTATACCCAGAGTATGTTGAAGAAGAGGTGCGATCCAAGTTGAGGTGTCTCAAGCAGTAAGGGTCATTAAGGGAGCTTGTTCAAAAGTTTGTCGAACTAAGTCTCCAAGTCCCGAGTTTGAGTGAGGAAGACGAGTTATTGACCTTCATGGATGGGTTGAAACCATGGGCGAAAAACGAGCTAAGGCGATGAGGTGTCAAGGAGCCCTCGATTGCCTTGATAACGGTTGAGTCAATCATTGAGCTTGGCGTCAAGAATGTTGACTCCAAACTAAAGCCAAAGTTCAGAAGCCACAGTGGTGATAGGTACAAGGCATCCAAATCCGACAAAGATTCAAGTGGCACTGGCAAGCCATCGAATGGTAAACACTTGGATAAGAAAGATAAGAAGATTATCCAATGTTACAATTGCAAGGGCTAAGGGCATTTAGCGAGGGACTGTCTGTAGAATAATAAACTCTTTGCCATCAAGGAGAAAGATGGGGAAGAGAGTGAGACTCTTAAGCTTGGCTCCATCCTTAGCACCATGGAGGTCATGAAGGGTCGAAAGAAGAAGGGGTTGATGTTCGTTGACATCAACGTTACTGGCCAGAAATCAGATGATTTTTAGGATGTACATGCTAAGGGTACTTTAAGTTAGAGCCTTAAGAAGGTTTTTTCGTTGAGGCGAGGGATTGGTAACTTGCGTGAGCTGTTTGATATAAAGGAGGCTAATCTGAGGGATTTATGGTTGGAGGTTCGGTGTAGTGGGGACATGATTCCATGGCACAAGTTGATGTGGTTCCCGTTATATATTCTGAAGCATGCTGTGATTATTTGGCTAGCTATTCTTAATAGGTTGGCTACCAAAGATCATTTATTGAAGATTAATTTGACGTGTAGAAGATACTTGTGTTATATGTGGGGCGACGGTCGAGATGAGGAATCACTTGTTTTTTTAGTGTGCATTTTCAGCCATTGTTTGGGGAAGAATTTTCACCCCTTACAACCAGGAAAGGAGGGTCGGTTCCTGGGAGTTTAAGTTCTCCTAGGCTGTTGTAGTTCTTAAGGGTAAGTCTCTCTTTACGCTTATTCTTATGCTTGCTTGGAACGTGCTCATTTATCTTATTTGGGAGGAGCACAATAGGAGAATTTTTAGAATGATGTTTGGGTGTGAGGATGATATTCTTAAATTGATTATGCTTATTGTTCAATGCAAGCTTCATGGTAAGAATATTAGTATAGTGGTATAGTGAGTTATAATCTTTGTATAGATTGGGAGCTCTTGGATTGAGTATCGTGTTTTAGTAAATGCTCGTGTTTTGTTGTAACAGATTGCTACTTTTTATTTGAATAATATAAACTGGACTTATCAAAAGAAATTATTTAGGTTGAAATTAATTTTGGGCTACCTTTTAGAAACTAATTGGATCAAAAATAAGTAAATTTTGAATTGGATAACGTTGTTGTTTCTACATATTTTTTTCTGGGTTTTAAGCCCAAAACTAACATAATAAAATGCCCTATACCTATTTCTAACTAAACTTTTGGTAAAACCACAAGTTGGAACAGGGAAAAGGAAGGGTAAGGTAAAGATGGCGTTCAGAGGGAAGGAGATGATGAAGAAGATGATAAAGAAGGTGGGCGAGAACAACCTGGCGCCCGGTGTGAAGGAACAACTTAAAAAATGCATTCCGGACAGCAAGGTCGTCATGAATCGTGCCAAACGTGGCCTTTACGCCGGCCGACACATCCAGTTCGGCAACCTTATCAGCGAAGACGGTGGAAACAAGTATTCTCTCTAGCTTCTTTTAATTTCTTATCTCTTTTTCGTATTGCTCCTGCAATTGAGCTTTTACTGAAACGGTTGATTTTATCATTCTTTTTTATGCTTTATTTATCGCTTTGACGCGATCTGTGGAATGGTATGATAATAGAAGATTGCGCCTTTAGCTGCTGTTACTGAAAATCTGTAAATGTCTACTAGGATCATTCCAGGAATTTTATTGTTTACTATATGAAACATTGAGGGTAGTAAGAACATAGTTCAGGGTTTTGCTGCAAATTAAGCTAGAAGTTCGCCAATATTGTTTAGGAAACCCCGAATCTGTGGGAATTGTGGGGATATTGAACTGAGAGTAGCATCCAATGAATCCAGTTTGGGTGGTTTGGATCTTTATTTTGCATATGCTCTCTATAGGTATGGCTACCAAGAGGCCAATGTGATTTTCTGCCGCTTGCAACGAATGTTTGTCATTGTCGAGCTCATGATATTTTATTTCGAGATGTGATGTATTCTTGTAAGCATGTAATTCATTCTAGTTCTTGGAGGTGAAGCTGGTTGTTCTGCTTCTGTGCAATTTTGAACTGTGATATCTGTGGCTGAATTGGTGCAGAGTATGACGAAAAAAAATATTGATCTGTTTTTTCATGTTTATTTGCATAACTGAATTTAAATACTTCCGAAGGATCTGAAGTTTCTAAAAGATTTTGGATTCCAAGTTATTTCTAAAACAATATGGACCATTATTGAGAAGAATGAAGAGAATGACTTGAATAGAAAAAATCCGTTGTAGTTTATTTCTTAAACTTTCTTGTACTCCTGGTCTGATATTGTTCATCTGCAACGCGGTAAATTAGTTTTTTTCTTGCTATGTTGGAATTATGTGGTTTGTATAATTGGGAAATTTTAACATCATGTAATGGTTGTGACAGATCGAGGAGGAGTTGGAAGCCTAATGTACAGGAGAAGCGTCTGTTTAGTTATATCTTAGATCGCCACATTCGAGTCAAAGTAACCACTCATGCCCTCCGTTGCATTGACAAGGCAGGTGGAGTTGATGAGTACCTGCTGAAAACTCCCTACCACAAAATGGATACAGAGATGGGCCTATATTGGAAAGCTAAAATTGAGAAGATGTATGAAGAGCTCGGGCAAAGGGAGGTAGTTTTCTTTTCACCAGAGGATGAAGCAAAGTTTGAGCAAGGATTCAAAGACCTGAAGCTAGCTGAGAGAGAAGCTCGAAGGGACGCTAGAAGACAGATGTATGGATGGTCTGGAAAACAGGAAGAAATCGAGGATGGAAGAACCAGCCAAGACAGTTACGATGAAACTGCCAATGCTGGGGATGACAGTTCAGATGGCGATCTCCATAAACAATGGGTTGCAAATTCTTGAGTTTAGAACTGTTTGCCATGTTGGGTGCCGATCACATTTTATGCTATTCTGCAAAGGATTTTTGTTTTGAATGAATAATTTTGTAGCTATGCTTTATATATGTGCTACTTTCGGAATTAGTGTTACGATAGACATGCGCAAGTTGTCAACTCAGTCGAGGTAAACAGGATAATTTAGAATTGGGTTGGGCTTGGCTCTCTGTTGTGATAGATCCTCAAAAGTGTGGCTCAATTTAAGCCAATCAAAACATGGAATGCAGATGAACATTCACAGCTTTATATGTCATGTCAGTCGGATACCAGTACTAGATCTGTTAAAGCATCCAATTGCTCATCTAAGCTCGAGTTAAGATGATAATATTATATCGAAAAATGAACTTGAATAAAAAAATTTGAGCTTGGTTTCATGATTGTTTACATTTATCATTTTAATAAACGAAAAATATGGAATAAGCATATATTGAATAAAAAAATAACAAAGAGAAGCAATGATTAGTTTTAGATGGATTGTATTCGATTGTTGCAAACAAAGGCACATGGTGAATACAAAAGAGGTAAAAGCAAAAACCGAAACTCCCCAGCAGCACGCTACTCATCTAATCACAGGGTGGCCACTACTAGTCTAAAGTGGTGGGACAATTCCCGGCTCAGACCAGTAAACTAAACTAAAACATAGAAAATCAAGCTACTGCAAACAAGAAGCTGGATTTTACACAAACAGCTGGCTTTGTTTATCTTGATATGATGATCAACGGTGCCAGGCTGTTGGGTTCAGAACGGTTGAGAGGGGCGTTTAGTGTGCCTATTACGACCAGAATTTAAATTCCCCGCTTTTGCAAAGCCACTAAGCTTAACGGCAAAACTTGGTGACCAAACAAGCATTATTTAGACAATCGAAAGCGTCTTAACTTAACACACTAAATATAAACACAAGGAAACTTGCCTCAGAATTCTCCCTATATATATAAATCGTAAGCCCGGCTCCATTCCATTTCTAACATTTCTGCATTAAGAATAACAAACGCCCTCGCTTGAATTGAAAAAGGTTAAGCAACAAGATGGGCGTGGAGCACTGGTCTGTTATTGGCCGCCTGAAGAAAGCAGTGAAGCGGATAAACTCCCTGCTTTGTTTAAACCTAAGCAGATGGCGCTTAGCTTGCTTCCTGAAAAGCGATTCCCCCCATCGGCGGCTGAGCTTGAGCTTTAACGACCGCATTGGTTTGGCTGGCTGCATTGAGGATGAAGTAGAATCAAGTGAAAGAGGGTTAGTTCACAGAAATGCAAGTTGTGGTGCAGATGATGATGTTGACCAAGTGGTGGAGATATTTATCTCCAATTTCCGTCGCCTGCTTTGGTTAGAACGCCAAGTTTCTTTGGAGATGAGATATAGCCGATGCAGGAGTTTGGAGTCGGACAGAGACTGTCATGCAATTCTAGAATTATTTGTTTTTGATGGAAAGAACATTGAAATTTAACACCTTGGTGAACAAGCCTAGTAGATTGTGATATAGAATTGTGTTTAGGACTCTGTGCAAATTTTCCTTGTTAATGGTTTGTTTCCGTTCCCTTTCTCCTTTGTAAGGAAGGATGCATAGGTTAGAGCAATAAAGCTTATACAAACTCTATCTATATGGTTCCAAATTTGAGTAGCCTTTAACTATTGTTACTTGTCACTATCTTTTTGGTGATATTTTTGCATTGCTCGGTGGTGATTATGTTAATGGCTCTTAAATCATAGCCTGAGTAAGTTATAAGCATTCAAGTTAATAATTTGAAGTCGCAAATTTGGCTTTTGTGGAAAGGCAAACCATATTGAAGTTGGATCTATGAATGAACATTTGCGCCCTTGTTTCTTGTTTTTATGTGTTATGCTAGTTTTGTGTTGAAAGTTACCCTGCTTTAGAAGTTTGACAAGTGGTTTTTGTTCTTTAATTTTTTTTATGGAAAGTAGCATCAAGAATAGTCATCCGAAATGAAGTAAGGTTGTTGTTTAGCTTCTGTCTAAAGAGGCAGTTTTTCTAATTATTGTTTTCCGTTCAAAGAATTTTGTCACGTTCTTGCAGCATAGATGCTGTTTATGCTTGCTATTATGGTTTTTGTTTTTTTTCTTTTCCCTCCTGAACTAAACATATGTCATGGTGGAGGGTCTCTGTCATTACTTTATACATTTATTTTTATATATTTCCAGATATAAAGGATACTTGTGATCTAGATGGATGGATATAGTGGCAAAAGAGCTGTTTACGGGCCTGTTGTACATGGAAAGGAATCAGGTCGCGTTTTGAAGGACTGTGTTAATAACAGAGAACAGAATGCTCAGTTTTGCACTAGAATTGGATGCAGTGGTAGGCTGAATTCCTCAAAAAGCACTCCAAATGGCTGCTTGGATAAAGCAAAATCTTCAAGGCCTTACCACTCTTCATCAAGTGGAAAGCAAGTAATTGGAAATACCTCTAGGGTATCCTCTGCAGTTAGTAACACTAGGAAATCATCTACAAATCCTCGGAAAAAAGCTATCATCTCAGCTGGAAACGGATTCATCTGAAACTAGTAGCCTTCAGGATAAGCCGGAAGTTACTGTGATGGGAGTTGGAAGCTCTAGTGTAGCATCAAACTCTAGACCTAGGAGAAAATTTATTCAAAGATCTGGGTTGGGAAACCAGGATACTCTGGCCAGTCCATCTGTTACTTTGGGATCTCAAAGCACTTCCCAGGTGACTCGTTCTAGCACAAGCAAGTATGGCTTGAGAAATCTAAGATGTAATTCTATTTCCGATGTTGTCATAACTGGTTCTTCATCTTCGGATTCAAGCCTCAGAAAAAAGAAAGAAAGTAAAAAAGAGAAACTCTGATGAGGAGGGTAGTTCCTCCACCAAAGGGAAAAAGTTGAGCGGGTCAAATTCGGAGGGATGGAACAACAGTTCTGGCCACGGTGTTTCCATTTCTGATTCAAGACGGGGCAGGAATTGGCCTCCTAACAGAGATAGCGTTGTTGTTGCTTCAGTTAGAACTCGGAGGTCAAACAGTAGTTATGTTAGAGGGAGACTCCCTAACCAATCGAACAGAAATAGTTTAACTTTGAATGAGTCCCCTGCAGCAATACCACACGTGCCTCAATCAGATATACCTAACGATTTGAGTGCTTCTGTTTCCACAGAAACTGTTTCAACTCGTGCTAGTCCTTACAGTCAATCGGGTATTATAAGTGAGGGTTTATGCAGCATCATGCAGTCTAGTCCTCCAGAAGTTGGAACTAACCACACCTTAGAGAACCGGGATAGCTTCCGGCACTATAATATGGATGGCATTGCAGAGGTATACTGATCTCAACCTGCATTGTCCTATGCATGGAGTTAGAACTTTCTCATTTTTGAATTGCTTCCTTCTATGGGCTGTGTAGTATCTGAAATCATCTGGTGTTACAGAGTTCTCCCCGGGGAGAGGTTAGTAAGTAGCTTGTTGGCAGTATTGTTTTATTTATTACTATTGGACAATGTGTATGCAGGCATTATTGGCACTTCAGAGGGTTGAACAAGATGAAGAGTTGACATATGAGGTAATTAGTCTTGAAGTGTTTCATATTGCCTGATGGTTCTGTTGCTGATTTTTGTTTGTCTTGCAGCAATTACTTGATCTAGAGACCAGCTTGTTCCTGAATGGCCTAGACATTTATGATCAGCATAGAAAGATGAGTCTGGATATAGATAATATGTCATATGAGGTAATTTTTTGTTTTTGAGTATGCATTTTATTTTTCCGGGCATGTGCTTTTTGTCAGATAAATTACATGATTAGCCTTTCTTGCTGTCATGACAGGAATTACTAGCTTTAGAAGAGAGAATGGGTGATGTGAACACTGGGCTATCGGAAGACGCATTGTCCAACTGTCTCAAGAAAAGCGTCTACAACACAACATCTTCGGAGTATGCAAATACGAGCTGTGACGGTGAAAAGGATGATGTCAAATGCAGCGTTTGTCAGGTACTGAAAACTTGATGCGTTCCATTTCTTCTACTTGTCTGATAGTGAATGTGAGTACCAAGGGTTTTTCATTCGATGATTTTATGTTTGCAGGAGGAGTATGTGATTGGAGATGAAGTAGGGAGGTTACAGTGTTAGCATAAGTATCACGCAGCATGCATAGAGCAGTGGCTGCAGGTGAAGAACTGGTGCCCCATTTGCAAAGCATCAGCACAGAAACCACAGTCTTCATGAATTTGAAGAATAGAAAGAAACAAGGCAAAGAGAGTTTTCTTTTGTACAAATTGATGGTTTCTCTTCAGTATTATTATTATTTTATTATCTTTATATTACGATGATTGTGTAAATATGGAACCCCTTCATTAAAGTCAGATAATAAACCAAGTGCTGTTGTTTCTGCGCTGGAGCTTATTCTCTCCCCCCCCCCAAAAAAAAAAAAGGATGCATACAGATTGCACATGTTACTACCGTCGTTGAAGTCAGTTAATTTCTGGTAAACGTTAGTCAAGTGTATGATGTACTTACTTTTCGTCCCTTCCTTGAATGCAAAAAGCAATTATGTTTTTCTTTTTCTTTTTGCTGATATTTGATGGTTTCATCGGCTTCTAAAGTTTAAATTCTAACTATTTTGGTCTTTGGTTATGCAATGCAAAGCAAAGGCTTTGGCACCTACTTCAATTTCCAAATGCCTTCCAAATATATCATTCACTAATTCATAGATGTAGCTAACATGGACCACAACATATTTAACAAATCCTATACTTTTCTTCTTACAAGTGGTACATGAATTAGCCAATCTCTTCAGTTTAATAAATTATAACTCTTTAATGATAGCTGCCTCACTTAGATTTGCCCCAACCACAAGCAGATGACTAATACATTAAAAGTAACACAACACTGAATCTCTTTAAAGAGTGATAAAGACTAATGTTACAAGCCAAAGGAACCAACAGCATTTCAATAATGATAATAATAAAGAAAAAAAACTAAAATCACTACCAACTTACCAGCACCAACTTTTGCACAATGTAAATATAACCAACTTTTGCAGAAGAACTTCAAAATATAGCATCCTGTATCTTATAAATTACAAGAAAATTTATACTGTAAAATTAACTTTCTCAAATCTAGAGCAGAATGAAATTGAACAACAGTTATAAAACGCACTAGCAAGTAAACTTCAACTGAACATGGAAGGGGTGCTGGTACATAATTAGTATTATCCAAATTGAGAACCTTTTACCTCTTCACATCACAAACAATCCAAATGCCCTTTTCCTGTTCCAAATAGTCAGACATCAGAAAGCGGATTGTATGACTTAATCCACGATATATATACTTGCAGACCATTCTGCAAACCAACCTAGCATGATGGCTCTGCACATACCTAAATATCCTCACCTATAGAGCTTATAATCAATTACAACTACTTAAAATTTGTTAGCTCAATAAGCAACTCATGAACTTTGTTACATTAGATAGCTCGAACCTAGAAATTTAGTTCGTATCAAATCAAGAATTAGAACAGTACTTTGAGCACTATGAAAACTGTATGCCACAAAATCCAATAAATGATAATTGATTACAATTAGCAAGTCAAAAACTCCACAGAAAAATAGAATCGGGAGCATAGAAGCTAGAAATTTCAGCACTTGTTGAGTGGCAACATCTAGATACAAATCACCATGGATAATTTAATGGATGCTGATTTATTATTATTCATGGAACTCAATAAATTCTCAGATATTAAAATTACATACAGAGCTATACAGCAGCCCTTACGCAAGTAAATTTACCTTTCAACAAGCTACAAAACAATTTTCCAGCAAAACTTTTATAGGCTTCCTACTCGACTACTGTAGTTTGCAAAAAAAAAGCTTGAGATCTGTTGAAGTGGCAGAAGATAGCCAAAACAATGCTAATCGTACAACATGACAACCAGTTGTCAGCACTTCCTTTTTAAGCAACTTAGCTCAGTTGCTCAGAAGTAATTTCCAGATTTATCCTGGCTCTGCGGCAGGGGTACACGCATGCCCACACTTTAACCCACAATTTCATCTTCAAGGGACAGAGCTTTATGCAACTGGGCACCATCTCGTTAATGTCAGTAATGGGAAAGAACTGTGAACATCAGTGATCATTTTTGTCAAGAAAATTTTACACGGCATTCACTATTCAAAAGAATGCACACAAATTTTTTCCAGTAGCAACGGCCAATCTTCACCCAGCTGCTGGGGATTTAGCTCCATTGCCACTTTAAAATCAAGCAAAGATATCAAGAAATGCTGCTCAGGTTCCTGCAAAACTTCTGTGGGCCCAGAGCTGCTCTGCATATGCAAGTGGTTACTTGGCCACATACCATTCATAAGCTTTCCTTGAGGGTGCTGCTTGTGGGCAAACTGCTTTTTCAATTCTGGTGTAGACCTTGATCCAACCAGATCTACACACGACCTAATAAGTTTCGTTAAGTATACATCCAACATGTTATTTAGCAAACTAGCACATTCCACAGAAACCACACCAAGGCCCTCTGCTGCTGCGATCTGCTCCATACGTTTCTTCAATGTCTCAGTATCGTATAAACAACCACAACCATAGTAGCTAATGAAGTCGCCACTGCTTGCCACTGGCAAAGCTTTACAGGCCCCTCCAACACTAGCTGAGCAAAATGGAATCCCAAGTGGTGCTAGCAGAGGGCTTCTGGAGATATTAATGTGGTTAGCTTGCTCCAGCTCCTCCCCATCTTCAACAACAGCTGCTTCAGCCTGGTTTTTACAAAGCAGCCTTGGTTTTTCTGTAGAGTGCACCAAACCTTCTCTGTCAATTTCAGGCAGCTCAGCAACTGCTTGAAGATGGTGTACTGGTCTCTGGTAATCATAGGAAATCAAATCACCATTTTCGAAACCCAATTTGCAGCCATTATCTTCCATTGTCATCGAGTGAGGTGAGACACTCTCAACCTTCCCATTTGGCCCAAGTGGGCTGGGTCTATCCCTGAGCTTTCTATCCCGCACTCCGGACCTAGCCTTTCGTGGGGATGACACTAGGAAAACCCCATTTGACCAAATGTCCACATTTTGGTTGGGAACAAGGGATCTAGTCTGATCATGTGCATCTTCTCTACCAGGAGACCTTTTCACAGTTAGTATCAAAGATTTCACGGGAGCTTCATGAACTGGCTTATGGCATGCATTTTTCAAGATTGAACGTATCAACAGATTATGCAGTGACAAATTATGCCTCCCAATAATGCGGTAACATGACTTATCAAACTCGCATTTACTTAGCTTCTGGCTTAAAAACCTACTCAAATAATAAAAATACCTTTTTGACCTCTCAGCCCCAATCTTCTTCACTATCTGAGCTTTCAGTTCACCTAAATCGATTCTGGAGCCTTGCTGGGATTGCATTGCTGAATCAACAGATTCTTACACCATTCACAGAACTAAAGAATCGCAGAAACCCGTTTACAACCCAATTTACAGCTTTTGTCCAAATCCGCTTTGCATAACATATAATGCAAACCAAACTCTCAGTCTATGCATATAGAAAGTAAAGCAGCATGCTTGAAATCCTAGAGAGAAAAAGCTCACAATTCCCAAGGTGGATAGAGTTATTTCAACTTCCAAAACATGCCGGAATTCACCCAGGGAGAAACCAAACAATGCAAACCAAATCTCATTATTGCAAAACCAAAATCCAATGGATCAAACTCCACTTGAGTAGTTGATAGAAACACCAGTTAACAAAGCCGAATTGAATAACGCAAAGAACAAATCAAAACCATAGAGCTGGAATCACCGAACTTAAAAGAAACAACATCACGTCATCTCAACCCCGCGAACCGAAAATTAAAATCACTGCACCAAGTAAAACCCTACAAGAAAAAAGTTAAGAATTGGAAAATTAAAGTTGCAAGAAAAGAGATCAGTGGAGTTGGTAGGATAAGAGCTAAGAAAAGAGCAAGAATTGCAGAGACAATAAGCAGAATTAAAGCGGAAAAACAAGCTCACATCAACGAATACAGAAGTTAAAAGATTGATGGGGCTAACCTTGGTTGAAGTAATTGCATATAAATCGAAAGCCACTAAGTTGTTATTTGGGCTGTTCGCAGCAGGCAGCCTCGATTTGTTATTTACAATGATTTATGCGTGTAATTGAGAGTGAGTTCATTATTATTATTATTTATGCTTTTCAAGCTTTTCTTTTCTTTTCGTCTTGATTTACTATTATAATTTCAGCTCCTCTTTGTGTTAGATCGATCGCTTGCTCTCTCACTGCTACTATTTTAGTTTCTCTATTTTCTATTTGATTAATTAGTTAAATCTTATTACATTGTGCAATCTCTCCCTCCCTCTGCTTTCTTCTTTCCCGCTATCTCATCCTGTGTTCGTTTTATTGCAAACGTCTTTTCATTTTGCAAATATTTGTTTGTGAATGAGTTCATCATCTTGGGCATTGGCATTCAATATTAAGTCTCTTTTAGTTTTATAAATAAATCAAATTCCATGTTTTTTTTACGAAATAAAAAAATATACATAATGGAATCTCAATGAATAGTAAAATAAATAAGATACCACGCAGATAGATTACATGCGGTCTAAAGTTTTAATGTACAAATCTATTAATTGAAAATCAATTTTTATTTAATAAGTAAATATATGGGTTATCTTGACTTTTCACCTATTTAACATCAAAACAAAAGTAAAATATCATATGGTTTATGTTTTCTTTGGATGAATGATTAAAATTTCATTAAACAACCTGAGCAAAGCAGTTAAACAAAACAACCCAGCACAATCAATCCCCCGATTAAAGAGAAGCAACAACAAAGAAAACAACATACATAGATCAATATAAACAGACTCATATTCACAACAACAACAAACAGTCACTCCATAGTCCATACCCAGTCCCTAAAAATTGCATTAAGCTTAATTCCCTTAATTGTCCTCCCATCATGCGAAAGTGAACATGCTCCCTTATCCTACTAACCAACTCCCCTGCACTATTCCCCTTCCCACCAAAAATTCTGTAATTCCTTTCGCCCTACGTCCTGTAAATGTAAGCATTAGCAAGTTTAAGCAAAGTAGGAAGAAAACATCTATCCTTAAGTTCAGCCATAGGCAACGCTACCCCCTTGCTCCAGCTTTCGACATACCTCGAGAGTTGAAATAGCTGTAAAATGCTTACTTACATCTCCTTAGAAAACTCACATCTGAAAAACAATTAATCCCTTATTTTCGTATCATTCGAGCAAAGGTCACTTTCTTAGCGTATGTTATGTTAATCGTGCATGAATTACATTTTTCTAGTACAAATTGTGAACGTGGTAACAATTTTAATTTAGGAGAATTTTCGTGTTTAAAATGTAAATTGTACTGTTTAACTCAAGAGGACGCAAAATATTAGAATGAACTCGCCTCATGTATCATAATAAAGGGCAGCTGAAGTATTTATGATACTGTATATTAACAACAAAAAGCGGGGAGGACACTGAACATAAATTCCAACATTTAGGAAAAGGAAAATGGACCCAAGTCTGGAAATAATAATTAATACTAATATTAGCGGTGAAAAGGGCCTTGTTCATCGTCACTCTTTAAACAGTGTAATGCTGCTGAATGGTATCGATATCAAGCCCCTTGAGCTTAACAACGGATTCAACATGTCCCTTCAGTGTATTCAGCTCCCTCAGCCTACACAAAATCATCATCAAATTAACATTTTCACTGTTTTTTCTTTTTCTTTTTTATTCAAGTGCATATGAAGGTGCAGAAATTAGATGTCTGACCTTGCAACCTCAGCCCTGCGCTTGGCCTGCTCCGCAATTTCTGAAAGTTCCCTGTAACTGCTCTTTTCATGGAAAATGCTTGAGGTTTCAGGTGGTTGAAGGCCATGCAGAGTTCTCTGCGCAGCTGCCCATTGTGCTTCTCTCTCCTCTTTTCCATAATCTTTCTTCGTAGTGAAGGCAATCTATAATGCAAAGGAGCCAATTAAATTCATCAGACCACAAGACAAAATGTCGAAGCACATCACAAATTTGGAATGAATGAACATACCCTGTTCTCCAAAAGGTTATCCCAAGCTTTTCCACTAAGAACATAACGTATTGCAAACTTGAGAAGATCCAATGGGATATATGTTACCACACTGTATAGCCAGATTACACCGGCCCATCCCCAACCCATACCTTTAATCCTTGCGAAACCCCAATTTGCATACACCGCTATCAGAGTAGCCACCTGCCACACATTTTCAGGTCGTTTTTTGTCAATAACACACACGCAGCCTTCTAAAATCTTACAATTAAAAAAAATACTTCTTTAATGGATAGTTTGGTAGATTAATTTAATTTTCTTACCAGCTGAGCAATCATAAAAGCACTGACTAGTAGAAGTCCAGGACGTTCAAAATAGGACCAACTGCGAGACCTTGTGACGAAAATGAGGGCCTGACTCACAATACTAACTTGAAGGTATAAAGCTGCCATCATTTCTTCATTACTATTCCTAAGTGACCTAACGTGAAATGTGTCCTGAAAAAAGAGGAAATGGAAAATTAAAAGAAATATCACCAAAACAATACGTAAAGGATACATAGCAAACGAGGTTCTTACTGAGAAGAAATTGGTGTCTATCATTGCCCAGAAGAATATCACAGTCATTAGCGCTAAGTAACCTCCAAGCACAATGCCAGTAGCAAAAATCTCCTTCAGTTTCCAGCTGTCTGGCATTGGAGATGGCTTCACTCTGTCCTTGGAAATTGTCATGATTGTACCTATAAATATGACGATGAATTAATCAGATTCAAAATCATGGTGCGTGTGGGTCCTGGGGACTTGTACAATAACGCATAGTGATAGAGAACATCTCACCGTCGTTCAGGATGGCAATAATTAAAACCATGAAGGGTGCAAAGTCAAACTTCCATATCAAGGCAATAAACATGAAGCCAAACTGCCAAGTGACAATGAAAAACATAATCCATTTGTAAAGTGATTTAGCATTACCAGTATTCTGCGTCTTGGAGGTCTTTATATACTTACCACAATACGTATGGTGATTGAAACTGCATAGATCTTCAATGTGAAGGAATAAGAGAAAAAAAGGTTACAATCAGTCAATCACTTCCACCGAGGAATAAGAGAGTGAAAAAGTGAACAATTATATAACTCACAGTGTAGTTCTTCATCCTTTGGAAAATAGCCCTGCTGGTCAGCACTGCACTGATAATGACACTTAGCCCGGGTTCAGTCAGTACGATGTCTGAAGCACTTCGAGCGGCATCTGTAGCATCAGCAACAGCAATTCCGATGTCTGCCTTCTTTAAAGCAGGGGCATCATTCACACCATCTCCTGTCATGCCACAAATATGTTTTCTCTCCTGTAGCCTCTTAACTATTTCATATTTGTGTTCTGTCATTGGAATGGAAAGGATTGTTAGAGAGAAAAAAAACTTAAAAGAGTAGAGGCCCTATAATTAATCAATTAATGAAACTTTATCAACAGAGTTCTTCAAACACGCCTGGAAACACTCCTGCAAATCCATCAGCCTTCTCAATCAATTCATCTATAGGGAGAGCAGCAATGGAAGCGTCCTTGTCTTGGCCCAGCAAAGAAGATGAAGGATACATGTTTGTTCCCATTCCAAGCCTCCTGCCGGTTTCCTTGCCAATTGCAAGCTGGTCCCCTGGGTATTAAAAAAATAGTATAAAGATTACATCATGAAATTATAGACAATGTTCAATTCTAAACAATTAAACAACTCTCACCGGTAATCATCTTAACATTCACTCCAAGGTTAAGAGCTCTTCTGATTGTCTCAGCGCTATCATGCCTTGGAGGATCAAATAGTGGCAACAAACCAACAAACTCCCATGGTGCCCCAGGACTATCTTTTGTTTTCTCAGGTATTTCCTGCAGAAATAGAAATCAAACATAGTATTATTACCACAATTTAGTTTTCTCGATTCAAGCATGTGCAAGTTTAATTTTCTGACCTGTCTTGCAACAGCTAAAGACCGAAGCCCACGTTCAGCAAATTTATCAATAACTGCATGAACCTTTCTCTTGACATCTTCTTTGCAATTGCAAAGAGTTATAATCTATTTAAGAATATTGAAAGCATATGTGTTAGAAGTTACCTACTGTAAAAGGTCAGAACTGTTCTAAAATGAGAAAATAAAGTACCTGCTCCGGTGCACCTTTGCTAGCACGATGCCAGTTTCCATCAGAATCAATGTAGGTTAGTGCAGTTCTCTTGTCTACAGGGTTGAATGGAAGGAAGTGAATCTCTCGAATGCCAGCACGTGCCTGCCCAATTATTATCCAAAATGACTAAGGAATTCTTGGACTAAATCCTAAATATAATAAAAGACCAGGAAGAGAAAAAAATACCTCCTTTGGATCTGCAAGCATTCCTACAATTGCAGCATCAATAGCATCCTGATTTTCAGTCCTTGAAGCCCTTGCAGCATAAAGAATAACATGCTCTCTTTCGACTCCCTTTGCAAATACTTCAATTAGGTTTCTATCAACGGTAAGTTTATTCAAAGTCAGAGTTCCAGTCTTATCACTGCAAAGAACATCCATTCCTGCCATTTCTTCAATGGCTGTCATTCTCTTTGTGATAGCCCCTTGTTGAGATAGCCTGTGGGAACCAATAGCCATGGTGACAGACAACACAGTTGGCATAGCGATTGGGATTCCACCAATCAAGAGAACCAGTAAATTGTCAATCCCATCCCTGTACTTGCGGTGCTGTATTGGGTACATGACTATTAACTCAACGGCTATTCCAACTGCAATTGAGCAGATGCAGAAATTACCAATGGCAGTAAGCACTTTCTGGAAATGTCCAACTTGATTGGTGCTGTCCACTAGGTGGGCAGCTTTACCAAAGAATGTGTGAACACCAGTTGCAATAACAACTGCTTCTATTTCTCCCTGTTTACACGTTGAACCAGAAAACACTTCATCTGATGGATTCTTCGTGACAGGAAGAGACTCCCCAGTAAGAGCAGATTGATCAATCTTCAAAGGATCACCCTCAAGAAGACGAGCATCCGCAGGAACTATGTCTCCCAATTTAATAGTGATAATGTCCCCTGGAACTAGAATTGCTGCTTCTTGCTCGCTCCATCGACCATCTCTAAGAACCTATATGTTAGAAGGACAGCAAACCAAAATCAGGATTAAAATAAGTCAGAAAGATGATTCAACAAACTGTTGGGTTGCTGAATGTATCTCACCTTAGTTTTTGGAGCAAGATTAGCCATGAGAGCAGCTGCAGCGTTACCAGCATTATTTTCTTCAATAAAACTAATGGTGGAGTTGATCACCAACAGGACAATGATACCAACGAAGTCCTGCCAGTCCGGAGGCCTTCCATCACCATTTGCCAGGGCAATGGCCATTATAGCAGCAGCTTCCATGACCCATGACAAAGGGTTCCACATAAAACCCAAGAACTTGAGCACTTTGCTCTCCTGTTTGCACAGTATCATACTACGTCATACCAAAAAAATACAAGCTGAAAGTTTACAAACTTAAATGTAAGTGGTTTATGGTATGAACCTTTTTCTCTTCTAGTTTGTTTGGTCCAAAAACTTGAAGGCGATTGTTGCCTTCCTCGGTAGTCAACCCTTCTCTTGTACATTTCAACTGCTCGAAAACTTCCTCAATAGGAATCCGTTCCTATAAGCAATTGCTACTTAGCCAACTTACAGAAAATGCATTTTAGGAACATGTATGTTGATTTAGTTTGTGACTTGTGATCCATGCAAGAACCAGTGATTATTATTGTCTTTACTTTCAAAATGAGTTCAGTCGTTCGGTTTTTTCTCGGAGAGAAATCAAGTGCAACTGAATGAAAAACTCCATATATAACCAGGGACAATCAATCATCAACTACGATAATAGATATCAGAAGATACTTTTGTTGAAAATTTTTCATAAACTAGGACTCCATGTATAGCCTACCTATATGGAAACGATGCTATTCAAAGTAACCGACATGGCAAAACAGAACAAGCAAAACACAGAGAACCCTGAAAAGGGAGGGAATGATGTTATTTGTTCATCAAAAACAAGTAATAAACAGAGGGAATATAATTTTTTTTCCTAAACGCTTGAAGAGATTCACGTTGAGTTTCAAAAAGCAGTGTAGGCAAAAGGACCAGTCCGTTGATATTTACAGCCCATCCATTGAAGTAATTAATCTTTTTGATTCAATTGAAATAATTAGTGAGCTTAGTCATGACTGTAGCCATTGATAGTCATAGGATGTCCTTTCCAAACTCTACTTATTGGCTGTTAAAAGAGAAAACTAAGAAAGAAAGAAATCCTCTTTGGCTTAGGAAATTACCAAATGTTGAAGAATTAGATTTTTTTTTTATTATTCAATTTCCAAAGAAAAAGTCAACGGAGATACTTCAAGACCCGAAAACTCTATTCACACAACGAGAGACGGATATGTCAAATTAATAATATCATAATATTTATTAAATCTTAATTTGATTAGAATAATAATATTTATTACCTAATCGTAACGGAACGTATGGCTAAAATATGTTTGGTATGGCACCAAAATCTTGAAAAGGAAACGACTAAAATATCGTTCGAATCATAATATCTTGATTTTCATCAACAAAGGAAAGTCCGGAAATCGTTTTCCACTCTTTTTGGCCAAAATTCACAACAACTACATAAAAAAAAAGCATCGTTTGTATCAAGCATGGTGAATTCTACTCAGATAGCCTAAAAGTAATGGAAAGAATCCCCTGTTCTGTTGAAAGCTGGAAATGGAATCATAACAGTAGGGGGTGGGGGGAAACACGATTCATGTATAAACGCTTTTTGTGTGACGAGAAAAGTAAACAAACACAAAAACGGATTGCATGTATCGGATTTATAATATTTATGTGAAGGAGAAGAGAAAGAAAAATACCAGATCAACGGTCTCGTTTTTGATCTCCTCGAGGCTGATGCCCATCTTCCAAGCTTATTAGAGGGAGCAGTAGCCAGAAGCTATAGGAATACAAAAAAGAAAAGCCACGCACACTTAAATACTCATCTTCGCAGAAATAAAAACAAAGTCTAATAGTAATACTCGAGAAAAATGAAGGCAGAGAAAGATAGAGAGACGTATCCCAGTTTCTATTTTCTTTTTACCTTCTGGGGTGAGTCTTACAAACGTAAAAGAATGAGTCTGTGCGTGGAGTTGGTGAGTTTATATATACGTGAGAGGAGAAACCTTATGTTAACAAAAAACGCACCGAGGTGGGTGGGACAGTGGGACCCCCTTAGCCTGGTCCTTCTTGGCCTCTTTGACCCCCCACGCGCTGCTTTCCTCACTCTCACACACTCGTCCCCCGAATCTCCACGGACTTTTCTTTGCTTTCTTATTTTTCAACTTTAATTAATGTCAAGCGTATCTCTATGCCTTTCTTCTGCATTACAATATTCATGTTTAAATAAAAGCATTAATATACTAAAACAAATCTTTATATTTGTATTGGAATTTGAGTTGGTCGCAATGTGAGTGCAAATAATAAATATAAAATTAATGACAAAATAATTATATATAATTTATAATATAATATAAGTATGAATCTGGGTCATTTTTTAATTGATACGGACATCTTTTATCGTTAATTATATTATTAAATTGATTAAAAACATATTATTTTAATATATTTCTAATAATTATAAAATAAAATTAATATTAACTGAAAAAATATTTTTTCATAAATTATATTTTTAATAAATTATATTAACTTATATTGACCGAGTCAAGTTAATAAATTAACCGTGAACACTTATATCATAATATTTATAATGCTCAAACACGAGACCTCGAAGAAGAATAACAATTCATTTATCATCAATGTCGCTTGATTCATGTGAGTTATTAGGTTAAACAATAACTAGTTAACAATCTTAGAGCATGTGAGAGAAAATTCTCAAATGATAGCTTCTCTCTCTTAGTGTGTAAATTCAATACCTATTAGAAATAAAATTTCTTTTCCCTTAATTAAAAATGATTTAAAATTAAATAAATAACGATTAACATCAAATTAAGTAAAAATTTTAATATATAGATAAATACTTGGTTGAAATAATTCTTTATATATGTTTATAACTACATAAGTTTTTTATTCTTATTATAAAAAACATTTAATGGAAATAAATTAACTTAGATGAACATCTCGTAGAAATCTTTTCATATCTGCATCCTCGAAGAATACTTCTTCACTTCCAATGCATTCAGTCATAAATTCATCTTATGTTTTATAGTATTCGTTTCGCTTTTTTTTTTTAAATTAGAATCCGGTACTATATCAAAAAATATAAGTCTCTTTTGTAATTTTTTCTAAGAAAATAAATTTATTCCCTTTAAATAAATAAAAAATAATAAGAGTTGGGATGTCACACCCCAAATTAGTGCCTATTTTTTTTAAAAATTTATTCTGAAGACTAAATTGAAATTTTAATTAAATTTGAGGACCATAGTAAAAATTTTGATTAAATTTAGATCCAAATTAATAAAGCAACTAAAATTAGAAGACCTATAACGTAATTATATTATTTTTTTTCTAAATGTGGGGGTTAAAAGCCCAAAAATCATAAACTTTCCATTTCTGGAAAGTTTAAACCCTTCTCCCCTCTCTCTCTCTTCAACCTTTCCTCTTTTAGAAGAAAATTTTTAATTGTCATTTCGTCGTCGACCGTTGTTCCGTTTTTATATCTCCCTCACTATCGTGTTCCTTACGCCATCCCAAGTCCACCGATGTCCATCTTGTCTCCGTTACCGTCGACGTGTGAGGGGTGAGAAAAATCAAGTTTCGACGTTGCGAAGTCGAGCTCTCTGTTGTTCACCGCTGTGAACCAAGTTTGGTAAGTGTCTTAAAACCCCTTAAAATGCATATACGAATTTTTTTCCGTATTTTTTCTGACCCCAAAGGCCCCGCACGTGCCCCCATGCACCTCTGATGCGCATGGGGAAGGTCCATTGCTTGGTGAGCTTCTTCTTTGTGCACAGAGTAAGTTCTTACCGTATGTCCTTATGTTATATGTATAACGCCCTTACCGGGTGTAGAGGTGGGTGTGTAGTTATGAGGAACTTACATATTCTGATGTTCGGACGAGGGTAATGTTCATATTTTAAAACATGTTTGATGAACTGTTTTTAGTGAAGAATTTTATTTGTATGTTTCTATACACCGTGAGGAGCACACTGAGTTTTTTTAGCTCATTATGTAAATTTTAACATTTTCAGATAGCATACCATAGACTAGAAGACTTGGAATCAGGAGGACCGACTACTTCTATTTTTGTACCACTGTATATATCTATATGTATTTTTGTTATACTTTGGTGACACATGTTTTTGCTATTGTTTTGATATATATATGTATTACCGGTTTTTTGTTTTCTATATACGGTTTTCCAATATATGTATATATATATATATACACACACACGTTTATCGTATGAATTTTTTTATGGCTAATTTCATATTATATTGTTATGTGGATTTTAATGTTGTTTTAAAAATAAAAAGAATTTCAAAATACAATATGTAACTGTCTAAATTTGGTCATAACATCCAGACCGAGTCTAGAGGGTTATTTGAGATTTCTAAATTTGGCACCATTACTTTTAGTTATAATAATCATGTTTAGAGTTTATTTTTTAATATTAGGAAATGACAATAATAACTAGGAAGTTATATTATTATTGTGATATGATTAATTCAAAATAAAATATTTTAAATTATGATAACAAATTATATGAACCAAACTATCTCATTGGTTAAAGAGATAATTGTTATTCTTAAATGTTTTAGGTTCAAGCATAAAAGACTGCATGAACTTTCATTGTCAAATTATTGAAAATCTTTATAATATATATTACCTTATAATCATCTTAGAATAATAATAAAAAATTATGATACCAAACTATTCATTTTTTGCTATATTCATGTTTTGCTCACTAAATTTTAAAAGGTTTCAATTTGCTCACTCAATTTTGACATTGTATCTTTTCTTTTTCATTTTACCTTTTATTATTTAACAGCATTATGACAAGACATCCATCGTTTGTTTTTTTTAATTCTCAAAAACTTTCTTTTAATTTTTATGAAAATACTCTTGAAAATTTTCTTCTAGAATTTTTAACTTGATTTTTTGATATTTTACGGTTGAAGAATATTCTTTTAAATATTAACACCGGTAAAGTGGAGAAGGATAAAAGGAACAATATATCATGATTCTATAGTGATCTAAAGATGAAAATTATAAATCACATTTATTTTATTTTGATTTTTGTGTTGAAGATTTGCGAGTTTTAAAGATATTTTAAGAAAATTTAAAGTAATAAGATGATAAGAGACGATGAGCCAATTTGGTTGATGTCTGAAATGATAAGAGAATTTATCGGAAAGCAATAATATTGATGATAACATAAAATGGAAACGAAACTCTAAGAGTTTTTAAAGCTGATGAGAATGTAAAATTAAAAAAAATGAGGTGGCTTCAATGTTAGTAGAGAACAATCCACCTTAGAAAAACAGGCATGATTTAACACCCGGCTAATAAAAATGAAGTAATTCAAAAATTGAATGATCAAATTAAAACAATAAAGTTTAATGATTGAAACAATAATATGATCAAAGTTGAGAAATGAAAATCATAACTTACCCATACAATTAACAAAATTAAGGGTAAACTACTTATTTGGTACCCACTTATTCCCGTGTTTATGTTTTGGTCAACAAATTATTTTTTAGTAAAATCGTACTTAGTGCCATATCATTTTAGTCACTAGACGTTAAGTTTAATCGTTGACTTAACATAAGTGATTATATAATATGGTACGATAATAATTTTAATCCTTACAATTTACACATTTTATATAAATCCCTAGTATTTAAAAAATCATATCAATTTAAGGCTAACCTTAATTTAAAATAATTTAATAATTTAATAAATTTAATCTTCTAATAAGATGATGACACATGCTATCATTTTACTATAAGAAATAAACGAAAATGAGAAGATATGCCATTAGGAGCCAAAGCTTTTGGGTTGTTGCCTCTTGTTAAGGTAGAAATAAAGCTCATTTTCGTTTTTTTCGTTGAATAATTTGAAATAATTCAATAAATATTTGACTTTTTGGATGTATTCTATTGTCGTAATGATGTAAAATAATTATTTTCATTATTTTCTTTAACAAGTTGGTGACCCATGTTATTATCTTATCGTATGATTATGTATATGGAATTATTAAATTATTTTAAATTAAGATAAGGATTGAATTGATATAATTTTTAAATTTTAAGGTTTTATTAGATTATACCAAATTAAGAGAATGTTGATATAATGTATAAGTTATGTAAACTAAAATAGTTATTATCCTATGTCATATCATAATTTCTATTAAGTTTACGATCAAAGACCAAAATAGAAAAAAATATAATGGTAAGTATGATTTTATAAAAAAAAAAAAATTAGTTGAATACAAGAATAGTTGGAGTGCAAAATAAGTCTAAAATTAGTTTGCGATGGAGTTACGGAATATGCTGTGTGGTATTGAATGGTATATTGACTTGCCACGGTCAATGTGTACTCCTTTTGAATTTTCGCACTTGTAACTATTTAATGGTTGGTTTTTATTGCTTGACGCACAACATGCCCTACCGTTACGCCTTAAAATAGGATCCAAAACATTGGTTTTTTTAAACATTCGCGTGGAAGCTACGCGAGGGGAGGCGAGGCATGGAAGGAAAATAAATGGAAATGTTTATACGAGACTCTAATTGCGGTTAGGTTCTCCAATCTCTTTGTCAAAAAGGTGGTGGCTGTGGTAGGAAATTTCCGCTCACGTTGAGCTTTTGTCTTCTTATGTCCCCACCCTCCTTCTAGAATTCATATCCGTCCAATTTGAATTCATTTTTTTAAAGAAATTTATTTTATTATTATATATAATATTAAACTTAACACCCTAATACTGTTAAGTTACATTTA